GCCCATAGCACAGGTGCTCTTTCACACTCTCAATATAACAGTGACTGCCTTACCAATTATCCTTTTTCCAAAGTTAATTTTAGTTTTGCCCTGAAGGAAATCACCATCTTACACAGGCCACAAGTTGAAAAGTAGAACCAGAAGTGAAGGTTAGTGTTTAAAGTCTATACTAGTGGTTTGAGAATTGGATGCCTTTTAGGACACCGATTAACCCTGTGTTACTGTACATTTTGAATGTGTGTAGTAGGGCTGCCCCTAAAAGTCAAAGCTTCAAGGCAAAAGTTGAAAATCTGGCTAAGATGCTTCACTTCAATTGTTTGCTTATTTGCACAACAACATTTAGACAAGAAGCTAAAATCTAAGGTGGACTGATGTTCTTGCTAACCGATGAGCCCTCTGCTCGGTGTGTGACAAAGTTCATTTGTTGAGGCAAATTTGGCAATGACTGCGTGAGACAAATTAGCTGCAGCCACTGGGAAGTGCATGGTGACAGCAGTGATTAAGCTAATGTAATATTCCTTATGACGTCTGCATATGCAGAAGTTTCTGATTAACAGCTATCCAAATGTTTTGTATCATGTTTGCTGCCCCACAAGACCAGTCTCCCCCTCTTTTTCTATTTTCTGTGAGTAAAATCACAGGAACTGTGGTCAAACCTCAAAATTAAAGACTTTGTCAATTCAGGTAAGAACAGCCCTGAATTTCATTCATGTTTTCACTTGTTTATACTGTTATAAACAGCTGAATAGTCATTGTGAATTGTTTGGCAGGCTTAAGGCACCTTTCTCTTTTTCAAAACAAAAAAGTTCTCCTATTAGGAGTAAACATATATTGACACTTTTGATCATTTTTCCAACCATATATAGTATTTAGTCCGCTCTCCAATCTCTGCATCTTCTATGAAAAACAGGGGTTGCAAAAATGTTTTTCACAGATATTTTAGATTAAGAAAAGTGCAGAAAAAAGTAAATGATGGTTAAGCTCTGTTTACGGGGCTGATGATCCTGACAGAGTTCACTGGGACCTTGAAGAGACTCCAGCCATTTCTAATCTCATTAGTGACACCTGGGCTTTTCCTTCTCTAACAAGTCTAAATTGCTGTTGTGAGTAAGGTCTAGAGTTTCTGTTTCACATTACTTTACACTGATTATGTAGCCTGGGGGCTTCATGGCAACTTAACTGCTGCCAAAACTTGACTAACAAAGTTGTTTCCAAGTTTGTAGGCAAGCAGTATGTCAGCAGCATCAGCACTTCCATTAGCATCTACTTTTAATCCTGTCAGCCACTGCTGTGCATTATGAAGTGTTTTATAAGTGCTCATAGCTGAATCTATAAGTAATAAATGGTGGCTTAGCACTTTGAAAGAAAACACACTCGATGCCTATAGAGATGCCTCACATATACAAATGTGAAGCCAGACTCATTTCAAGCTAGTGCCTACAGGAGTATTGATTAACATGCACATCTGTTTCCTCAGATGAGAATGAGATTTATGATGCATCTCTTGCAGACAGACAGTGCATGCCGAGTCAAATCTCAGTCCTTTACAGCAAGTCCAATTCAAGATTATAGCATTTGATCATTCATCTTCAATACTATGTCAGTTGTGTTTTTTTAATGGCAGACAGCTGCAGCTGTCCTTATAACTAATATTACTCAGCCCGTCGGCTACTTTCCCATTTATTATTTTACATGTGTAAACCTCCGAGCATCACAAACAAGACCTACTAAGCTCATTTACAGTTTTATATTTTTATTCACGGATTAGTCGAGTACTACCACCACTACCTTCATTAGTACTTCTACTATTACAGGAGCATGCTTCCATATTCTAAATAATCTTAATTAAACTTACACTTAGCCCCTCAGCTAATCAACCGTTTGAAACAAGACATTTTAGCTCCTCTGCCACTATCCATTTAAACCGGCTTTGCTCTAATCAGCTGCTCGTTGCAGACAGTGTTTGAACAGCAGTTGTGTATCCCTGAAATGACCATAATGAGACACCCCCATCTTTGACATCACTGAGATAAAAAAGGAATAATAAAAAAACCTTCAGAAACAGTATTTAGAGCAGTCTGAAGGCTGACCTTGTGCCTCACAGGGATTACTTCAACATTATTGTTATTAGTAATCTTTGCCTGAGCATGCTCATATCTTTAATTATATGAACATCAACCATCACAGCAGTATATATACAGCTGAAAGTAATCAGAAGTATATCAGAAAACTTTATTTCACACTGGTTTAGCCTCAAGGTCAGTTGGTGCTGTAATGATTGGACACTATGTTTTGAGTAAAGACTGGGCCTAAAGATGGACAATCATTAAATCAAGTTTTAGTTTACTTTTACCATAAGTTTATTTTGTGTCCTAATCTGTCTACTGGCACATCGTTTGGGAGGTGTGTAACAGCCTCACTTACACACCACATGTTCTCTGACTTCCTGGTTTAAGGTCCTGCTTGTCATTTATTTACTTTATTTTAAAATGTAAGCTTGAACGGCTCATCGTTGCCACCGCACAGTGTTTCTGCCTGAATGGAAGCTTATTTTACATGGTGAGGATTTACGGATTCTGACACGGTGTGTGCACAGGCAAGCAGCGAGAAGAGAACAAAACACTGCTTCACGATGTTTTGTCTTCATTGAATACTAGCCAATGAACTGCATTTCTTTTGTAAACCTGCAAAAATGCTTTGACTCAAGACAGCAAAGCTTCAAAAACTTTCTCTTGCTTTGCAGCTCCTATTTCGTTACAAGATCGTTTCAGAGTAACAGCTGCTGAAACGCCAAATGCTTGGAATGTTAATCAGGATTAAGTTTGAACTGTCATCTTGAAAAGTGAGGAAAAAAATGATACTCGAGACAATGAAGATCAAGAATTAATTAAATATTCAGAAACTGGTTAGACTTTTATAGGTCATGTCATTTACTGTGGCAGCTGAGGATTGGTGTGGAAGAGTTTATGCTCTTACTGAGAAATGAAATGTTTGATGTATTTAAAAATGTGAGAACAGAACTGAAGTTAAACTAGAGCACTTTAAACTTGAGCAGTAATAAAACCTAATTCAAAATCACTGCAGCACTTATAACTACAGAAATTATAGATGTCTGAGTTAACAATGAAACCTTTCAAGCAGAACTGATTTTTTAAATAATGTGACGATTCCACCTTCTAAAATATAGGATTTTGTAGCTTTTTTTCCTGTGTGCAACATTGTAGCAAATTAAGTAAAAGCAGAAAGAAAAAGTAGATTTTATTAATTTAGCCGAAAACTACCATAAGGATTTTGTTATTCACTGATGTTAGCAGACAACCTCCTTATTGATAAAATAATTTGTGCCAAATACATCAATAAGTGTAAAACAGCGTATGTCACTTTCTGTGAAGACATGAATGATAACAACAGATCATTTTGTTCATTTTTTTAAAAAAAATATTAATACTATTTGCTGCAAAAGTCACCAGTTTTGCAAGCTGTGGAAAGACGAGTGCTGAGTTATGAGAATTAATAATGACGTTTATTGATAACGCTTTTTTTTTTCTACCATAGAAGTTAAAGCTAAAAAGTGTGAAAGAGACATCAAAGTATGTAGAAACCAAAGTAAGTGGTTTTAGGTGTAATGAGGGAGATTGGCGCTAGCATCTTTCTAAACAGCTTGTTCCCTATAGTATTTTCTTCTGACAGAGTCTGAAGAACAGGAGGAGCTTGGTGGGATGTTATTTGTTGAAAGCGTATGCCACAATTTTTAGGGAATCAATTCTTTTTGTTTTATACTGTCTTTTTACTTTGAAAAAATTAATTTTAAATTATTATTTTAGAGACTCAGAATCAAATTCAGGTATAGAGAGAGTATCATCGGTGGTAGAACCCCAAATAGCCTGAAAACTGACATTACATTCTCAAAGTTTGTATTAAAAGCTGACTCTTGCCTAAAACTGGAAGGGACATTTAAATTGTAAATGAATGGTCTTGTAAAGAGAGAAGGAAATGTTACCTGGCCTGTGATTTTTTTTCCTCATCAGAACACTGACGCTGAGGGGATATTTGTGTGTGTTGATGAGCTAAATAAATAAAAGATGAGGAAAGGGCATGCGGGAGCAGTGTTGTGTAGACCTAGGATCTCCGCTTGATGCGAGAAGTTAATTAGTGCCAACGCAGAATCTATTTACGTCGTCAAATCCGTCACGTTTATGGCTGCCATGTCAACAGAGCACATCAAGATGTATGGCTGCGCATAAGGAGAAAGCGAGATCCTCTAACACTTTTTAAGCTTACTGGACTCAGCTGTATTGATTAATGTCCATCTCTGTTTAGTGATTATGCACAATGTGGTCTCCAATTACTGTACCAAGAACTTGTCATTTAGCTCACTTTCATCTTACCCCACTGGGCTTTGAGTCAGTGGAACCATTAGGTGAAGCTGTGTGGGAAATTATGCATCACGTCATGAATCGCAGGGACTAATGAAGTATATGAATCAAAAGGATCAATTAGTAATGCCTTCTCCCTTTCACTAAGAGATTGGTTTAACTAGAGAGTTACGTGTTAGTCAGATAATGAAAGCGATATTTCACCCCAGAAGAACATTAAGCCCATATTAGCATGCATACCACCACATTCAGAACAATGGTCAGCCTCCAATATAAGTTTGTGTTCTACTGGAGAGTATTTGTTCTCATTGACAATTCAGAATCAGTCTACTTCACAGTTTGCAGAGAGAGAAAAAAATGTATGACTGAAAACTGGAGAAAATAAGTGTTGATTGAATTTGTCTCACTTGTGTTTTTTCATTAGCTGTGTGAGACTGAATGCAAGATGACTGAACTGCATTGCAGGTATGCATGCTGAAAACGGGAAACTGTTGCACCAGAGTGATATATATTTTTTGGGTTACTTTTAGTCTGGTTAGAAGTGTACAGTGAGGCATTCGGGGCCCAGCAGTGCAATCCTCAGCAGGTCAGAGTGTATCGAGGACATACATCCCTCCCCCTTACCCTCCATCTCCACACTGATTGGCTCCGAGTCAGGTGACCCTTGTTCCCCAACAGGGGGAGGGCGATCAGGACCTGTACCTCTTTCAGGGTCACCTGCCTCCTTTGGGAATGCCGCCCCATGATAGGTTGTGCTGGCGCTTGTGGGTGTGGTCTTCCCTGTGGTTGTAGCGAAGGGGGAAGGAAGAGGAGGAGTAGGAGGAGGAGGGGGCAACAGAGTGAGTGATTAGTGAAATGTGAATCAGTCTGTAGAATCAACTTTAGAGAAATGAGGGTGATTCCTGAGTCGAAAGATAACCATCACCCGTTAACATAAAGACCCTGTAATGACTGTCAGGGACATGATGAGCAGACAGAGCACAAGTTAATTCGTCTGTCAATTCGCTACTCCGCAGATACAGTGATTTAAATCTCTGCAGTGTAGTTAACCAGCTGCTTCAAGTCACAATGTATTTCTCCAGCAAAATGAGATTAAAGCATCTCAGCATTTGTGATCATATCCTGGACTCAAAAAATATTTTACAACCAAAAACAGCTTGTACCATTTTAAAAAGCTGTTTTTCACATTTTGCGACTCTAAACAGTTATGAGGGCACGATGAGAGTATGCTCTGAAAAGGTTCACACTGAAATAATAATATAAGTATTTCTTTTCATAATGGCATAACTGCAACTAAGGTTTTGACCACCTGAATAAATTCCCAAAAAGGTTTTCATATTCTGAATTTATTGTATTGCAACTTATTATTCTTTTATGCATATTCCTATCTAATCAGATCCTTTCCTCCTTTGAACCACCATGACCTTGAACTCTACCATAGCTTAAATTCTTGAGTGAACATGAGTGAATGAATGAACATACGGATGGGCGACAAAATAAAGGAAAAACCTGAACCCCTGAGCAGTAAGTAGATCCAGTGGCTCAAATTTCACAACACAGTTTGGGTCCATGTGTCTGCTAAAAGGAACAGGTTGTTGCAAATCAATACACAAATGTTCCGAGCGATTATTTTTAACCTACAATGCAACATTTCTATTGTGCAAAAGTGGCCAGGACGGCAATGTCCTCATCTATAGGACAGAAAGGGCCACTGAATAGTTTGAAGAGAATGAAAATGATATGTATCACAAGCTATGGTGTTCCTGATGACCAGCACTCACATGGTAGAAAGCGTTCTTCTTCCACAATCATCAAAACAATAAAGGATAGAAGATCGGTAGCACTTTATAATACAGCCTGTGACGGGCATAAATCACCTGTAAATAAATGGAATTTCATTGGATTTTATTTGAAATTATAATGTAATTATAAAATAGTTAAAAGTAGGTACACTATAACAATGTGGTAAAAGTCGGGCTTTTGGAGGAAATAAAGAAATGGTTAGAGTTTAAATTTAATCTGCAAGTAATTTAAAGTAATGCGTAAGTAATTTCAGGTATTGCATAACCATATTAAAGATTAGGGAGTGGCTTAACCTTGTTAACGTCCAGGTATTTTACAGAAAAGAAGACATTCCTTTCATGCACACTCCTTTTGAAGAAACAAAAAACAAAAAACATTATAAGTTCCAATTTAGATGGTACCAATTTATTTTTTATTTTAAGAACTTCCTATATTGTAAAATTACTACAAAATCGCAAACTATTTCAAATGAATTTTGACTACTTCAATGTAGATTTTTTTCTCCCTACTGTTGAAACATAACTTAAGTCACTCCATAATCTGTGATATGGATATATGATACTTAAAATTAATCATCCACTACCTAAAAATACTTAAAATTACTTGGATAATGCTTAAATTTAAAGTATAATTATTTCTTTGTTTTGTATTATAAAGTGTTACCAGAAGCTCCTTTGGGATGACAACGTGTTTCTTCCCTTCAGTGCAGTTTAGTGACTTAAAAAAAAAAAAAAAAATCAGTTGGAGTTGTTCTGATCATACATGGTGTCCCAACGCATTACTAAAACACCTTAAGTTGCATTTTCCTTACGTTTGTCTAAAAACACTCATTCCTGACAAGTTACTTAACTTCTCCATCACCTCGGTGTAGCCCAGCAAACATTATGACTAACACATTTGGATTTGGTTCAAACATATGCCAAGAAACACACTGGGCATTAGTTGCCACAGGCACGGTATTATCAAACATATTTTTTCCCGATGACACACTCCACATCTTGATTGCACGATTAGCTCTCTGTTGTCCTTGAGGTATGGTGAGCAGCATGCTGCTATTGGCTTGGGCTCACGCACTAATAAGCCAGCCATAATGTTAGCATTCTGCAGAGTTCACACCCAGACTGGATGAGAAGAGTTTGCTCTCTCTGTTTCTCACTGTGAGCCAGTTGACAGTGTTCACTCTGAATGAGGAGCCCTGTCAGTTCGCCATCTGTGCTGGGCAAATTAAAACTGTACCAGGAGGTGCTTGGCCCTGGCATTTTGGACGGCAGCTCCATGACTTCATCATTACTTTATTAACTTACCATTTTTTAAGAAAATCTAATAAAATGTTTGTCTTTTTTATTGTTAGTGAAGCACAAAAACCCCGTCCACTACAAAACACAGAAACACTTTACTACCTACACAGGCAGGTGCTTGTCTCAAGCTAATCCCTGTGCTGGCTGTGATTGTTTGGGTGACAGTGGAAGAAAGAAAACGTCCCTGCCTTTGGTGGTTTTTTCGAACAGGGAACAGAGCCCCCGAATGACAACAGCTTTGTTAGGCATATGGAGTGTTTTATTGTCTCGGAAAGCTGATAATTGATGTTCAGTGTAGAGACTTAAAAGGCTTTTCTTGTGAATCAGCTAGAAAAAAAAACTATAGACACAAAAAAGAATAAACCAGAGACAGAATCTGACTGCGTGTGGAAAACTTCAAACGGAGCAGTGAAGCATTAGGGTAGTGAGAACCCCACAGGATTAAGCAGTAGGGTTGCTCATCAAGTCTTGCTACCAACTGAGTTGTAATTCCTCCAGCAGTGAGGCTTTACAGACTACTGAGGCAGTGTGGGACTGTGGAGGTCTGGGCTGAAGCCTCGAGCAGACAAAGTGGCCTCTGTTCTAAGAAAAAGACACAGAGATGTAGGAAGAATAGTTCTGAGCCATAATGGCCAGCATCTTCTAGGATGATGGGCTCGGTATTGTTATAAATCACTGTCTTGGATCAGCCACTGCCATTAGATCCCCTGTGCCTCAATTTGTCCAGTGACAAAGGGATCTGACTCCTCAACTCCTTAAAAAGTTGAGGCGGGTGCACTAGCTGTGTAGATAAAAGTGAATGAGCCTTGTTAGCAACCATCTGTTTGAAAATGACTACTTTTGAATGCAGCAGTGTCAGAAAATTGTCCTAACACCACCTCCTCAATCTTATCTGAGTGCTAGCCAGCTTAGCGCCATTTCTATTTCTATTCCGGCCATGCCAGGGGCTGTGCGGTGTGGCTGGCGGGGGAGTAATGGAACGTGACAGGGATGATGATCCTTCTTGATACAGGGCATTAGGCAGCCTGGCCAGCGGAGCTCCTGGTCCATCAAAGAAGTGATGCTTCAGACAATGGCTTCAATGTTTAAACTGTCAAACTGGCTAAGAGGGAGAGGTGGTGCCAGCCATTCAGCTGCCTCAGTAAAAGATTCTCTAACCTCCCATGTAGCCAAGTGTGGAAACATTTACTTTACAGGCACATAACTGCATAGATCTGACTCGTAGGGAGTGAGAAGTCCTTTGCAATGATATTTGGGGATATTTTTAAAAAAATATCCCAGCTGTTTTACTAATACGGCCTTAAAGGTTTTTCCCCAATCTTATCTTCCAATCTCTCTTCTGTTCATACAAAAACCCTACTTGATTTTAACTTTTGCTGGTCTCATCTTCAAGGTAACTTCCTTACACACCTCTGGGCCTCACACAGTGCTGCTGCTATGCATAGTAGAAAAAAAACTTCTAAAATAATACAGGATGAAAACAAAATTTCCAAAATTAAATAAATAAATGAAAAGATAAAACTAACATCCCTTTGGGAATAAGAAAGGCTGTTAGTTGTTTCTTAGCTGTGAGACTGTTGACTTTAGAGAAAAGGGACATAAATAGAAATAAATATACGTATAAATAAATAAATAAATGTGTCCACTGACCATACGCTGAATCCAGTGCTGTGTTCTGCTTGCGAGTGGTTGCCAAGACATCTGGAGAAAAGAAATACAAAACAATATCAGTGTGATATTATTTGTTAAGATTTGCGTTTTCTGGACAACATTTCATTAAGTTCTGATGGGAGGCAATGATTGCTGAATTTGTCCTGTTAGTGGTTCTCATCACATCCCAGACACATGCAAAAGAGCTGGAAACAATTCACTTTGTCTTACAAAAACATGCTTCTTTGAGCAAATGTTTAATTAGCATAGAAAGATTGAGAACAGTATTCCAGCAGGGATTGTGAACGGAGGTGGACAAACTACTTTTCAAGCTCCTTCAACATGAACTAAACTGCAGCCATAGCTAAAATAAAACATAACGCTCCATTTTAATTTGTTCAAACTGCAATCAGTTGCGCCAGCTGCCGTCGAGATCTGATAACAATCAGTAGTTTTAAATCTGCCTTTATTGATCATGTTAATTCCTACGGATAAATGAGTTTGTTCCATCTCACCGTGGCAGGTATCGGGGTGCTGATGGTAGCCGTTCTCCACATCCTGTTCAAACCCGCCTCTGAAGACAAAGAAACAAAGACGCACACCCACACAGCAACAAAGACAACGAAGCCTGTCAGTAAATTTGCATCAATCCATTTCACTCAATGTCCATTTCTAACAAAGCACCTCTTTCCAAAATTGGTTTTGCTCAAAAGCAGCTTTTGGAGACAGGAAGGCAAGCGCACCAAAAGAAAGGGGGGAAAAAAGAAAAGAAAGAACAACAAAATTTAATTTGTTTTACATCTGGCTGAGGTCAGAGTGTTTGTTGTTTGGACACAGTAGTGACCAGAACTGAAGGAAAAAATCTACCCTTAGATCTTCTTGCAAGGTTGTATACCATCAAATTTGTGGCGTTCAGCAGATTCCAGAAGTTAGTTTGTGATGAAAGTAGTAATTTACTTTTGTGTGTCCTTGCATTTCCTCAGCTTGGCTCTTCTGCCTGTACTCTACTTAGTCATTTCCTACAATTTGTAGATATAAGCCTCTCTCTCTATCCACAACACCTCCTCTAGCTGCACTTTAAGTCTACCAAAGCTGCAGCTGATAAAATTGGTACCTACAGTTTGCTCGCTCGCTTGCTCTGCCATGTACGATCGCCGGATGAAACAGTGAAGTGTATCAGGTCAGACTCACTGACACCAAAGCCTATCATTTTCCCTGATGTCTTCACTGAGACATTTTCTGCTCCTGACTCCCTGGCCACCTCCATGGACAGTTTTCCAAATTAATGAGTAGCACAAAGTGAAGGAAATAAATATAGAAAAATGAATTGCTTTTGCAGAAAGCTTTCTAAATGTTTTTTGTGGATTTCAGAGAGGAAAAGAGGAAGCACAAGGTCTCATTCAAAACACCATTTACTGTTTTATGCAAGCGATGTGGAAGGTTAATGAATATTTGTATAATTATTATAATGTTTTTGTGGTCCCCAGACTTTATGCATGCTTGTGTGGCACTTTATTCTACATTCGGTTACATTTCTGTAGAGTGTGATTACATTTAATTGAGTGACAGTCATAAACTGAGCCACTGTGAAGTGAAGAGACAAAAGATCAAATAAGTCCCTTCAAAAATGTTTTCGCCGTGTAATTTTTGCCTTTGTGAACTTGTGAGTATGTAACTCAAATCCTCTTAATTCACCTTTTGAACCACTTCAAACTGACAAGAAACACAATCTGACAATTATTGATTTTCTGCTGCTCTGATCAAAACGCGCCTACGATTGATACGCTTTTCCCCTTAATACAGACGAGCCATCTTTTACCTTCAAGTCAATCACAAATAAACGGCTCATCCAGATGCATCCGTTTGATGGTTAAGCATTGAGATTGAGCCAGTGCACGGTGGAGCGGAAGTCTTTCCAAGCTGAGCTGAAATGAGCTTCACATCGTCGCCAACAATCCTCCCACATGTTGTAATGAACCAAATAAAGCAGACACAGGCTCATATACTGCATAAGCTTAAGTGTAATGATCCAGTATACAAGAAGAAACACTTTGTAAAAGCACACTCACACGCCCACTCTATAACAAACCAATTAGTTCCTTATATAACCTAAACAGAAACATAAGTCTCACACAGATTTTATGCAAACACAGACCCCCAGCATCCATCTATTATTAGCAAAAAAGTCTTCTAACACAGAGACAAGAGAAACACTTTTGCAAGCACAAATTCAAATAATGAGCATCGAAAAAGCAATAATACTAAACTCAGAAGGGGGTTGGTGGGGGGGAAATCAGCGCAAATAATCATTTCTTCACTGCAAACAGTCAAATTTAGGGATTTGTGTTTGTAAAACCTTCTGCAAGGAGGCTGATTAGCTCACATGGGCCCACCTGGTGCACCAAATTATACCCTTTGTTACTCACTAAAAACCCTGACTCTTTTATACCAACTTCTTATGTTTCCTGAGGAGGGAGAGTGTTGGTGTAGGACAGGAGGTGATTATCAAATCAAAGAACACCATGCTGATACTCAGTGTTGTGTGGAGAAAAGAGTAGTTTGCGAGATAAACTTCAGAAAAACAAAAGAAGATATATCTTTAAAGGATGCATTTTCACAGCTTGGGAGTAGCTGGTGTGCTTGACATTAAACAACTGATGAAGTTTTTATCCGTTTCTATTTTTTCCTTTTGTTTAAGTCACAGACTTTGTATGTTAGTCGTCATTTGCTTTTTATTCACCCTACCATTGTTGCACTTGCTTTTAATCAGTACAGTGAACAGCTTTTTTGCTTCTGTATTTCTACACTCGCTGGCCATTTAATTAGGCATGCCTTGCTACTACCAGGTTGGACCCCCAAGTGGCTCTCAGATTTGGATTAATTGGATTGAGATCTGGTGACTGTGGAGTACTTGAGTACAGAGAGTGAAAACCAGTTTGATATGATCTGAACCCTGTTACATGGTGTGCGATCCTGCTGGAAGTAGCCATCAGAAGATGGGTATACTGTAGTCATACAGGGGTAGGTTGTGGTATTTAAACAAAGGTGAACAGGTCCTAGGTATGCCAAGAAAATATCCCCCCGTTATACCATCAACAACACATTTTATGTGGTTCCAGTTCTGTATGCCGTGGTAGAAATCGGGAACGTTTTTCCAATCACCCACTGTCTAATCTTCATTCCCTTTCAGCCTCAGTTTTGTGTTCTTAGCTGTAAGGAGTCATACGAAGTGTGGCCTTCTGTTAGTGAAGCCCATCGGCTTCAAGGTTCCACATATTGTGCATTCAGAGACGCTCTTCTGCATACCTTGGTTGCAATGACTGGTTATTTGAATTACTGTTACCTTCCTTTCATAATGTGAAGCAGCTGAGCCATTCTCCTCTAACCCTCAGACATCAACACAATGTTATTTTGTTCAGACTATTCTTGTAAACCTAAGAGGTTGGCTGGTTAGGTAGCAGAAAAAGCCAGCCTCCAGTTTTTGAAACACTCAGGTTACCTTGACCATGTCTGCCTAAGATCACTGACATGCTGTCATCAGAACAGCTGATTAGATATTTGGGTTAACATCCTAAGACCTGAACTTCTCCATGGCCTGCATTTTTAATTTCTCTTTGATATTTGGGCTGATTGGCACCTGATGAATGTAAAAACAAAGAATTATCAGGTTTTTGTTGTTTTGTTTTTTTTTACCTAATTTTTGTTTCTGAGAAAAATGAGAGCAACATATGAGCATATTTGTTTAAAATTTCAATAGAACAGTGGCAGTATAATGTCCTCGTAAGTGGATATCAGGCCTTGTAGAGCAAAATGTAGTATTTTGGTGTAGACAACCCAAAATATGATGTCCACATTTGTGGATGCCAGGTCCTAGGAGGTTAATGAGCAGCTGAACCTGATGAAGTGGCTGGAGAGTGTACTTACATCTATATTGTGTATTATAAATTCATTTTGCTGTGAGGCAAATTTCCCTCTGGACAAACAATGTTAAGCTGAAATGACAAACATTTTCACCCTGCCATTTCCATCCACCTTTAGCTGTTCACCAGGAAAAAAAAAACCACACACGCCTCAAACTCATTTTTTAAAGTGAAGGTCAAACAGTGAAGTTTGAATCAGCAAGTGGAAAGACTATTTTATTTCACACCGTGGATTAAAAGTAAACCAAGGCTATAAATAGAGTTGTTTTAACTAGTAGGTTGACCGGTCACCTTGATGTTTAAAAAAAAATATGCAAAACCGCTGGCACTCTTCACCATAATTGTCCTGGAGTTCATGAGCATGAATAAACAGCTGAACCCAAGGACCACTCACACTGTCGTGCTCAACTTCACAATTACAACGCGCTCACTGCTCTTATTTACAAAATCTTTCAGTCTAGGTTCAAGTACTGCAGCTTTTACTATGCTGCTGAGCAAAGAGATCTAAATTTCTGCCTGGTGTGCTAGATTTGTTCCGTGGTCTTTATCTTTATTCTGACACTCAAAACAAAATGCCCTTCCAGCCAGGAGCACAGTATTGATTTTATTTAGCAGATCAGAGAATTGTTTTTGGATGTCTGACGTTCCACTTTAATGACGGCAATCTTAAATAACACGTAAGGTGAGCATCTGCACAAGAAAATAACTCTTTCACACGGGAATCCATAAATAAGGAAAAAACGTAGCCTCAAATTAATCACACGTGTAACCACCAAGGCAGGATGGAGAACTGCACGGATACAGATGTGTAATTCAATCATACACAACCTGAATGGCTGTAGATATTTTGTACAGATATATATGTAATATGCAAACATGTGTATGTATATTCTAGAGTTGACCGCATTTCAGTGTTTCAGTAAAATAATAATAAATATTGTATAACTTCAAAGAAATTTAAATAGAAGGTGCTTGGGGAAAAATGTATGAACTATACATAACATACAGTATAGCTGCTAATGTCCTAAAGCAGGGAAATAATGACTGCAGAGCCAGTTATATTTATGATTTGGCGCCATGACTGAACAGAAGTTGTGCAGAGTCTGCTCCAGCTGGCAGTCAGTGAAACCATCATCACATTATATGGTACTAGTGGCATTTGGCATCAGGGGATGCCTGTGTCCCATTTTTATTTTTAATCAATATTACCATATTTTAATTCCCCGATAAACTGCAACACAACCAAAGTGTGCAGAATCTGTAAGATTTTAGAGCATTTAACTTTATTTTCAGTATTTACGAGTCCAAAACAGATCAAAACAAAGTAAATAACTGAAACGTTTAGTAGATTGAGGTTAACTGCTCTCCAAATACTTCTAAAAACACATTGGTGAGGTTGCAGTGGGTGACATATTATTTATGATTTCTTGCACTGAACTCCCACACATAGTAAATTTTTTTTTTTATTATTAATCCCACATAGACGGATGATTACTGGAAATACTGGAGCAGAATGAGTTAATCCAAAGCCGAAAATAGTCCCCAGCAAATAGACCATATTTGTTCTTTTAATCCATTTGATTAGTGTTTTCTAAAAAGTAGTGTTCACTTTTAAAGAAATTCCTAAACCTCTGAGAAACTGAAAGAGAAGAAA